AACACGGGTAATGTATGGCCAAAGCCTAATATTTGTGTACTGTAGCTTTAGTGTTTCCCTTTAACTGAGCCGCTGTATAAATAGCGATGATACTTTCTGTCCTTGGTTAAGCTTTACTTTATTCTCTTGCGGGAGATTCCTTCTTTACAGGGCAGCGCTTCGCCATCATGGAGGAGAAATGCATTCTGGCAATGATCATGCGTAATCTGAGAGTACGTTCCCTGCTTCGGACTGATCAAATGCGTGTGGCAGCCGAACTCATCATCAGACCTCTTTATGGCAATCAAATAAAGTTTGAAAAAAGGTCGTACGGTGATTACGCGCACTGCAGCGCTTGAGATGATAATTTTTATATAGACTCATTTTTTGTATCTTTCAACGTAAGCATTGGAAATAAGTCGTTTTCTTGATACTGTTGTTGTTTTTAGTAGCATAGACTTTATATCATTCTCGTCTATGAAACGTACGTTGCGCTTTTCGAATGTTGGGCTCATGTGCTATTACAGTGTGATCTTTACTTATATCTCCCTCTTCGTCCTACTGCTAAATGATTATGATCAACATTACTCGGGGAATGAATTAGGTATGATTGCATACTATCAAATGTAAGACCATCACTCATTCGTCAATAAATGATTATTTGCATTTTTGTAGAGAGTGATCTTTTCCAATTTCTGCATCAGTTCAATTGGTTTATGAGAAAGAAACATGATTCGATAATCAGTCTTGTGCCAGATCTCATTCGAGTTTGAAATCTAAAAGACCATTTGATCAATCCGCTGTATCAAGCTTTGAACTGAGCTGTCTTACACAGTGTTAAAAATACAATTATATAACGTAATTGATATAAACTTCTGGACAAAGAGTTAACAGCAATCCCTTTATTCAATAGTACAACAAGTCAAGAATGTGCGATATCAAAACCTGGATAGAGATTCTGTAAACAAAACTCATGAGAGTCGGTTATAAATAGAATGTTGGCAATTTGTTCTGCTTAACTTGCTGGAAAAAGGAAACGAGGAAAACATTGAGAAGACACTTTCATCATAAGCGGTTCAGGTAGCTGTTTACTAGTATCTGACGTATACTTCTTCGCGTTGCTCGCTTTTCTTCAAATCGTATCGAATCTAAAGGCAACGATTTGCTGTACGACTTCTGCTACCTTCCCTCTCTTCCTTGCATTCAAGCAAATGCATAGAGCTCCACAAATGGAGTAAAAACCATTTTTGTTTATTTCTTGAGGCTCAGGAGCTATAGAGAGGGTACGACTTAGTAAATTTTCGGTCACGCCTTGCACTCTGCATATTTGCACATCAAAGAAATAAT